CCTGGGAGATGGGGAGAAGCTGAGGTTTGGAGAGGGCCTGCAACTCGTCTGAGGTCTCTGAGCTGCGTCTTCCTTGCTGACCCCTTCTCCCCACCTCACCCCCAATTGGCTAAGGGACCCCCTCAGGCAGGCCTCACGCTGCCCATCCTCTCACCTGGCCCTGGGAGGCGGGGAGGCCAGGACGCTGATCCCTGAGGAGCAGCCCTGTGAGGTGAGCATACCTCCACCCCCCACCACTCAGGCAGGCCTCACGCTGCCCATGCTCTCACCTGGCCCTGGGAGGGGGGGAGACCAAGACGCTGATCCCTGAGGAGCAGCCCTGTGAGGTGAGCATGCACATCAGCCCATTGCAGCCTCGAGTGCTAGGAAGTATTCATCCCACTTTATCAATAAAGACGGGCTCGTGCCCTGTGTCCCGGGTTAGCTGGGGGGCTGGGGGGTGGGGCGTGTCAGAGCAGTTGCTCCCAGTGGGGACTCGAGGTTGGCAGATCAGGATCTGTCACTGCCACCCTGGCTCCTGAGCTGACCTGCCACCAGCGAACATGTCCCTTCCCCACTCCTGGCCTCAGTTTCCCCTCTGAGAGGGGCTGAGAGTGGGCTGAGCAAGGGCTCCTCCTCCTTCCAGCTCCGAACGAAGTGCTAGGATTCTGAGTCTGCAGAGGGCACCCGGGGAAGAAGGGCAAAGACATCGGCCACTGAGTCTGGGGGAGGGTATTGCTGAGGCTGGAGAGGGGGAGCCATTGGCCCAGAGTGACTCAGACGGTGTGTCCTGCCCACTCTGCACTGAGACCCCGCCTCAGCTCTGCCCCCCAGATCCGTTGGGTCTGGGTGACTCTCCTCCTTCTTCTCCATCCAAGGGTGTCCCCATAAGAAGGGACATCAGGTGGTGTGTGGTCCGCTAGACTGGGGCCCGCCCCAAGATCCCTCGATGGCACGCTGGCCCCCAACTTTGCCGCGTTCCTTCTCTGCGGTGGAAGGGGAGGGGCACCCTTAGAGAGGTGCGGGGGGGCACTCGGGGCCTGGCCCTGCTCTGGCCAGAGGCCCCCCACTGCCGCCACACCTGTATGTGTGTGTGTGTGTGTGTGTGTGTGGGTGTGGAGGGGGGGCGGGCACAGTGGGGACAGGGGGATGGAGGGGTCCCTGCAGGCCAGGTCGGCCGGGAGCACTGCACTCCGCCAGACACTGTGCTGGCCGGACTGCGCCATCAGCCAGCCCTGCCAGGCTTAGCGCCATCCAGGCCCTGGGCAGGGAAGGCCTCTTCCAACAGCTGCCTCCTGCTGCGTCCCCTCCCCCAGCTGCTCACAGGCTGTATGTCAGTGGCTCAGCCAGGCCCGGTGCTCATCTGTCTCCGGGTCCTGGGGCGAGTGGGTGGGTGGGCAGCAGGCGCTGTGTCCTCGCCTTCACCCCCTCCCATCGATCACCTCGCTGTGCTGCTCTGCAGACCGTTGGTCCCTGTGTCTCAACGCACTCGCTATTCCTCCGTCTCTCCTGCTCGGCTGTCGCTGTTGGCATGTTTTGCTTTGCAGTCCTTCCCCGTCCTGCCTCCTGTCTGCAGCTCCCTCACCTCCTCCTTCTCTCCCCGCCCCCAGGTGTGTGTGAGCCGCCCTCACGAGCGGGCAGGGGGAGGGCGTGATGCTCCAGGCCCTAGCCTCAGGCCCAAGGGAACCCCTCCGGCCAGCACCCCCTCCCTCACTTTGAGGGGGTGCACAGCAGGCAGGGGGCCAAGTGCTGCCGTCAGCGGCTTCAGAGCCTTGCGGTCCCCTCCCGGCTGCGTCAGGCCTCCGCGGGTGGTGGGCAGGCAGCCCAGGGACAAGGACAGGGACGTGGTAGCTGACGCACCGGACAGGGTGATGGGGAACCTTCTCCCCCTCCGTCTGAGTCTCGGGGGAGAGGGAGGGTGGGGGGAGCTGGACCCTGGCCCAGGCCGCACTGGAGGCCAGGAGGAGTGGGAGAAAGGGCCAAGGACAGGGTCACCTTGAGGGCTCAGGTGGGCAGAGCTCAGAGTGGCTGGGGTGGGGGTTGGGAAGGGAAGAGATGGGATAGGACCAGCTCCCACCCAAGCCTGGGCCCCTTCTCCTCTTCCCTCTCCTCCCTCCCCCTCAGCCTTTTCATATCCCCCTCCCACTCCCCCCAGCATGGCCTGAGGTTGTCCCAAGGCTCCAGCAGCTCAGCTCTGCCTGGCAGCCCCTGCGCCTGGCTGAGGGGGTCCTGGTGTAAGCAATTCAGATCTGAGGATGGGGGTGGGGGTAGGGGGTCTCTGTGGGGCTGAAGTTGCACATGTGCACGCATACATGCACATCATACATGTGCTTAACATGTCATCATGTAGGCAGGCGTTTGCCCGTGTTCCCCTGAGATGCCCCCCACGCCCATGTTCACCTGTAACTGGCCACGAGGCCACAGAGCCTGTGCACACAGGCAAACGTGTGTGCTCACGCCTGCCGCGCACCCGCCTGCTTGTACGTGTCAGCACACCCTGCACTGGCGCTCTGAGCAGCGCACACCTGCGCGTGCACCTGCATACAAATGCGGTCCCCAGGCGCGCTCGGGGCAGGAGGTGCGGAGGGTTCTCTGGAAGGGCGACTCGGCGGCTCAGCCTCCTCCAGTG